GCAGGTTTAGTCTACTGTGCTAGCTAATGTTCATTTCATCTTTGGACAAAGAAGGATTGTGTGTTCCTTTCTGCGGGAGTGTATCCCCGGGTCTCCTTTCACTAAACTCCTGGATGGACGCCAGTTTCTGAGAAGTGGGACTCATGGGAAATCACATGACCTGCCTACTGTTTTAGCTTTCTTCAACAAATGGCCGTCCTTCGTTAATTCACATGTTGTATATCTGTGTCTTACAGGGGTCCGCCTTTTTCCAAGACCAAGCTTCACACTTGTCACCAGGAAGACTTTAACAGCAGTCTTAGAAACCACTGGCTCATTTTTAATGGGGGAAGGGAGAAATGAAAATGTGAGGGTTTTTTCTTTTGTGGTTTTATTTACCTATTGTAGATTATTCATTAAAAATCTTTTTTAAAAACATCATTGTTTTCAATTGCTTTAAAAAAGCCATAAAGCACCATCTACTCTTTTCAAAATGAAGAAACATCTACACAAAAACCTAGCCTGTGAAGGGTGCCGATCTCCCACTGTGTGCCGGAGGAAGCTGCACTCTAGAGAGGAGGGTGTGTCAGCATCGTGTGGAGAGCACAGCTCAAGTGTGTGCTTCGCCACTGAGTTAGTGGACAGATACTTGTGTAGTGTGCGCTGTGCGGGGACCTGTGGTGGTGACCTAGAACACAGCAGTGAGCAAACAGCTGAGGTTGCCGCCCCGCCGACAGCTCCTGAACATTTGTTAACAGTCCTGCTCCCCTCCCTAGGCAAACTCCTCAAGCCTCATTGTGGCTGAGGTGAGATACTCGGAAAGGAGCTCTTGTTGGTTGGTTGACTCGGGTGCTGAAGATAACATACCCAAGGCCACCCCAAAAGTACCTTATTTATTTTTATGTGTGTATCTGTGCAGGGTATGGAAGAGAGTGAGGTCCTGACAGGGATGCAGGGAGATGACTGCAGTGTGAGGTCCTGACAGGGATGCAGGGAGGTGACTGAGGAGGCTGGAGTGAGGTCCTGACAAGGATGCTGGGAGGTGACTGAGGAGGCTGGAGTGAGGTCCTGACAAGGATGCTGGGAGGTGACTGCAGAGCAAGGTCCTGACAGGGGTGGAGGGAGGTGACTGCAGTGTGAGGTCCTGACAGGTGGAGGGAGGTGACTGCAGAGCAAGGTCCTGACAGGGATGCAGGGAGGTGACTGCGGGGGCTGGAGCGAGGCCCTGGGAAGGGTGGAGGGAGACCCTGACAGTGGTGGCAGGGAGGACATGAGGAGGCTAGAGTGAGAACTCAGGAACCAGAGCAGAACATTTGTGAGGCAAGTTGAGGCAACATGCTCCATGGATCTCCCACCAGGGGAAAGAATGAACTTTTGAGCCCAAGGGTGATGGGAATCATGAGCAGTCACTAACTCAACTGGGGATGAAGAACTTGGGAGGGATGACTGCACTGGGCATGGGCACAGAAGAAGTTCTGCTCCTAGTGAACACAAGCTTAACCTGAAGGTAAGCAGAGCTGGGTACGTGGCCAGACCCAGCCCGAGAGAGGACCCCAGTGGTTCAGGCAGGGCATCAGTAAGGCAGAGGTAGGAAAGAGCACTTCCGGGTGGGCAGAACAGAGATGCAACTAGATGCCACAGGTGGGCCCTGTCGTAAGGCTGCAGAAGAACATGTATTGTGATCCAGGAATGAAGCACTTAGGGGTGGGATGCATAAGCATGCATTAGGTGCAGTCACACTGTCCGGGAAGAGGTTGCAGAGTCTCCAGGAAGTGAGAGACAACAGCAGCTGACTGCAGATTCTAAGTGTGACACTGAACGACTTAGCCGGGCTCCTTTGTACTCAGGCTTGCTACAGCGATCGCAAGTTCTGTCTAGAGAGAGAGAATGGTCTAAACCAGCTTGGCCTAATGCATCTGTGTACCTGAAGCCTCAGATACTCGGGAAGGTGAGTCAGGAGGATCACTTGAGCCCAGAAAGTCAAGGCCAGGCCTGGACAACAGAGAAAGAGCCCATCTCAGATAAAGAAGTAAATGAATAACAGTATTCTGGGTATTCTCGGAGGAGCCAGGGTCAGAAAGGTGAGGGTGTGAAAAGAAGCCACTCTCGGGACAGACACCATGCATAAGGGAAACACTGTTTTGTTTCAAGTACAGATTGGGCAAGGGGAGCGAGAGACTCCAACCTCTGCCTGCAGCTGGGCTTCATGGTCCCTCCCACTTTTCACCCACTTTTAGGGGATCCCTGTTGCCCAGGAAGACAGAGAAACCCCTGGAACCTAGAGAACTGCTCAGCCCCGGTAACAATCCGCTTACTCCACTGAGCTGACCTACCAGCTGCCTGCACCCCTGACCTGTGCCTCTGAGTGGCTTAGCTACCCAGGAGTCCTTCCCTCCTATCCTTCCTCAAGTCCTAAACAAAGGCTCCAGCCAGAACCAGGGCCTCCTCCCTCAGGCTTGGTGGTTCCCTGAGTAGTGGGCCTTTGACCTCGCTGTGTATCCTCAGTCACACCAAAGGAGATGCGCTCTGTGGCCAAGGCGGGGAGCAAGGAAGGAAAATCTGGCCCCGTAAAGTGGGTGTCTACAGGTTGAGACGGGGTACTCAAGACGGGGGACGGGGCATTCAAAGCCAGAAGGACGGGTGATTTGAGAGTTGGCTAAATAGAGAGCCAAATTTCATGCGCATGCGCATGAGAGCACTCCAGGACTCCTCCATCCTCCCAACCACGGTGCCCACTGCCATGACCGCCAGCAGGGCACACAAGTAACTCAAGGATGCACAGGAAGCTGTCCTTCTGAAGAGAGACAGAAAGAAATGCCCTGGCAAACCCAAGTGACACTAAGAACGTCCTGCTGAAGAAAAGACCCACGGTTGTCAACAGGCCCTGCCCTTTTCAAGGTAATGCCCTGAAACGGCAGGGCTTCCTTCCAGTAAATTCCCTTTTCATTCAAAACCATTACAGATTTAGTTTCTGGAACTTGAAACCACACCATCTTAGCAAATCACAAGTGGATTACCCCAAAGCTAGAATAGACGTGGGAGGGGAAGAAGTGCACTGAATGAAGACGGCTACCGAGGAGAGTGACGTCATGCTTGATGCTTACAGGCAATTAATGATCCCTGCTCCCTCCCACCAGCACCTTCCCAGGCAGGACCGGTTTAGTGACCCCCTTTGGAGGGACCCCTTTGACTATTCCAGCCTAGCTCAAATGGACTCTCCCAGGCTGCTTGTGCTCTCACGGCCTGTGTACTAACACAGTCTGACCCTGTGTTCAGAGGTACTGATTCTTAGTGAGGACTCTAGTCCGGAGATAGAGCTCAGCTGGTAGAGCGCATGCCTAGAAGGAATGAGGCCCTGGGCTCAGTCCCCAGCGGGCGTAAACCAAACATGGGGGTGCGTGCATTCCCAGCACTTGGGAGGTAGAGTCTGGGGACTGGGAGTTCCAGCTCATCCTCAGCTATGGTAATAATACTCTGGCTTCTGCAGTCATGTACACAGACACAGGGGGATTTATCCTTAGGTGTGTTGTACAGATGCTTTGGGCCTTTCCCCATTTCCGGCAAAGGGTAGATGACCTCCCACTATTGAAATGCTTGCTCGTAATTACTGGCTAAAATGTGTGAATTAGAACATTCCATCCAAAATATATTGATTTTAACTGGGCATAGTGGAATGCATCTTTAATTTCAGTATTACAAAGGTTGTTGAGGCAGGAGCTATCTCTATGAGTTCAAGGCTAACCTGGACAACATAGTAAAAATCTGTTTAAAACAAAGTGTTGATTTTTAGTACCCTGGGTTTTCACAAATTATGGCCCAATGATTATCCCTTCCTAGTTCTCCACACCTGCTAAATCAAGTTTGTGCCAGCTCTGTCCATCTATTCAGTTGTAAGAAGGTGGCTGGGGAGCTGGAGAGGTGGCTCAGCGGTGAAGGGCACTGGCAGCTCTTCCAGAGGTCCTGAGTTCAATTCCTGGCAGCCACATGGAGGCTCACAGCCATCTGTAACGGGATCTGAGGCCCTCTGCTGGCCTGCAAATCTATATGCAGATAGAGCACCATAGAGTACACATAAAATAAATAAAGAAAAGTAAAAGAATGCGAGCGTTTAAAAAAAAAAAAAAGGTGGGCTGAAGAGATGGGCCAATGGTTAAGAGCACTTGCTGCTCTTCCAGAGGACCTGGTTCAGTTCCCAGAACTCAAGTTAGGACACATCATTAAAACTTTTCAATGTTCAAGTGGATGCCATTTTAATTTAAATTTTAATTCAGCATACAGTACTAGGTTCCCTGGTAGGATTTAAAGCATACTTTCCTTCTGCTGACCTTTCTCCTCTTTCCTCCTCAACCTCCTGCCACCCTTGTTCTCTCCTACCCTCACCTCCTCGTGTTCATTTCATGTCACATGTGCCTTATGACCAGCCTCTGGTTAGATGACCTGCACACACTCACATACACACATACACACACACACACATACATACACTCACATACATACACACACACACACACACACACACACACACACACGTACATACACATACTCACATGCATATACACACATACATACATACACACACTCACATACACTCACACACATGTATACATGCATACATACACACTCACATACACACATACATACACACATGCATACACACATACATACACACACTCACATGCATACACACACATGTATACACACACTCACATACATACACACTCACATACATATACACACACTCACATGCATACATACACACTCACACACACATACACACACATGTATACACACATACATACACTCATACATACTCACATGCATACACACACATATATACACACACCTACATACATACACACACTCACATGTATACGCACATATGTACACACCCACTCACATACATACACACACTCACATACACGCATACACACACTCACATACACTCATGTACTCACACATACACTCACACACTCTTAAAGCTAAGATATGCATTTGAGAGAGTACATGTAACTTGTCTTTTTTAATCTGGGTTGCCTCACTTAAAATAATTTTCAAGATCCATCCACTTACTTATAAATTTCATAAATTCATTTTTCGTTATGGCAAATAAATTCACATTATATAGATCATATAGACCACAATTTAATTATCCATTCATCCACTGATGAACATCTAGGCTGGTTCCATTTTTTTGCTACCATGACCAAAGAAGTGATAAACATGAATGAGTGAGCATCCCTAGGGATACCAAGGACACAGAGCCTTTGGGTGTGTTCCCACGAGTGGAATAACTGGACCATGGTTGTTCTACTTCTCGTTTCTGGAGAAGCCTCTTTACTCATTACAAAATACCTGAGGACATGCGAAAGGAAGGGTTGATTGTGCCTCACAATCTGAAGGTAGAGTTCATCACAGCAAGGAAATCGTGGCAGCATCTGCAGTCAGAAAGAGATGAATATTGGTGCTCAGCTCACCTTCTGGGACTAAGACAAGTGTGCCCCCACATTCAGAGTGGGTCTCCCCACCTCAGTTCAGCGTCTCTGCAGATGCTCTCACAGACATGTCCAGATGTTTACCTCCCAGGTTATCCTAACTCCCGTGAGGCTGACAAAGATTAGCCATCACACCATACTATAATTTTCAGCTAGCCTCTTCTACTCAGAAAAGTTATTTTGAGTTTCACTCATAGTTTCCCATGCACAATAACTCATTCCGTTTGGTGGAAGCTCCACCTCAGCCGCTGGCACCCTGGCATCCATAGACCCAAAGAGTCTGGGATGTTCTGGTGGAAGCCCCACCTCTCTGCCCGGACCCTGGCCCTCAGAAAGTCCTGCCAAACATGGCTCCGCCCCCAGAGATGCTCAAGACCACGCCCACAGGGTATTTAAACTGCACCCCAGAAAACAGACACGTGGTTGTTTTGGTCTCTCCTCCCTGTTTCCTCTCTGGGGGACTGGAAAATCACCAGGTATGGAATTCCTCTCAGGTGCCTGCCCTGAGGAGGTTTCTCCTGGAGTCCTGGGGAGGACGCTAGGAGCAGCGGGGTCACTAATCTGGGGACATCAAATGAATCCCCTCACATGCACTCTTAGGTCCATCCACTTTATTCCTCTGAGACAAAATTCTGTCTACACAACTTCAGTTCTGTCCTTCTCCTCCTGTCCCCTCACAGTTCTAAGTCCTGTTCATCCCGTTCTCGTCTTTATCGTCATTCCTGTCTCCATCATCGTTCTCCCCTCTCCTCCCCCTGTGACCTGTGTCCATACACCTACCTTCAGCCATATTCTAGCCCTGCCCCTTTCTGGTCTCGCAGGGTAAATCTGGTTGGTAGCTAGGAAACCTGCCTCATAGCTCGATGCACCTGGTATGTAAAAACCCTTCTGTTCTAAAAAAAGTTGCTCAAGGGTACCACTTGGGCTATGAGAGAAAGGGGGGTCTGAGCTTAATTTGCACAAGAAGCAAGGCTACATTACCTAACATCCATCTGGCCTTGGTGGTGTCTCCATATGGATTTTACCCAGCAGGTGGTCTGTGGAGCTCATTCTATCGGCCATTTGTCCTTGGATGCGTTTGTCCAGAGCTGGCCCTGGCTTTGCGTGCTTGCCAAAGGAGATAACTGTGAAGGCAGACATCTGAATTCTAATGCTAAAAAGAAGCAGAAAGCCTGGAAGCAGGAAGCCTTGCCTGTGTGACTGTATACAAATATTTTATATTAGGATGATCAATCCACACTGTTTAGAAGTTCTCAGGAAAAGAATCAATTGGGAAAGCTGCCATAGTGCACAAGAAAATCATTGCAGGAACTGGCATACATATATAAGCTAATATCACCAAGACTCCATGAGGCTTGGCTTTTTCCTCTGGAAGAGCCCTGCTTCTTCCAGGCATTAGCCTTTGCTATTGTCAGCTGAATTCCTGCTTCATATTTCTGTGGCCTGCAGCAACCCAGAACTACTTTACCCATTAAACCGGAGCTTTGTCTATTTCAATCTGATTTGGTCTGATTTGGATTGCTGCATCGGTGGAGGGGCTTATTGGAGTGCAAAAACTTTTTAGGAACCTAGTACTCAGTATGACAGTAGGAAGAGAGAGGAATCTATGGAAAAGGACTAAGTCACGAGTGCTCACCACTCATGAATGAGATCTGTGCCTTTATAAAAAAGGCTTCAGCAAGCTCCCTGTCCCCTTCTGTCATGTTAGGGAGAAGCAATAAGTTGTCACTTGTGGAGCAAAGAGCAATCCCTTACCAGCTAGCCAGACAGCAAATCATCTTGGACTCCTCAGCCTTAAGCAATATGAGTGATGCATACCTGTCCCCATAAACTATTCAGTTCAGTCTAAGGTGTACTGCTATAGCTACCTGAACAGACTAAGACCATTTGGTCTTATGACCCAGGCCTTACTAGATATATGAGCTTCTTATTCTTATTAACAAGTTAGTCAAACAGGAATGATGACTCATTTTCTCTCACATCTGAACTGTGGGATGGTATCAAGTGTGGCATGACACTGTGCTTCACACCAGAACATTGGTAGGAGGCTCCCACACCAGGAAGAAGTTCCCAGGAGGAAACAAACCATCCTGTGGGTCACCAAGCCTCACCCAGCTGTGGTGTGAATTCCTGTGAACTATTATTTCTTTTAAAATATCATAGTTTCTAAAGGGAAAAGCAAATGGTAACTGATAGATGACAGGTAGATAGGTAGGTAGATAGGCAGGCAGACAGATAGACAGACAGACAATGTCTTAGGGTTTCCATGAGCAAAACAACTTGGGAAAGAAAGGGCTTATTTCACTCACAGTTCCATGTAACAATTCATCATCAAAAGCAGTGAGGGCAGGAAATCAAGCAGGGCAGGAACCTGGAGGAAGAAGCTGATGCAGAGGCCATGGAGGAGTGCTGCTTACTGGCTTGTTCTCATAACTTGCTCAGCCCACTTTCTTATAGAACCCAGGACCACTAGCCCAGGGATGGCACTACCCACAGTGGCTGGGCCCTCTACTCTCAAACACTAATTAAGAAAATGCTCTACAGGCTTACCCACAGCCCAATCTTATAGTAGCATTTTTTCAATTGAGGTTCCCTTCTTTGAGATAACTCTAGCTTGTCTGTCAAGTTGACATATGACTAGCCAGCACAGGTAGGTAGGTAGATAGATAGATAGATAGATAGATAGATAGATAGATAGATAGATAGATAGATAGATAGATAGATAGATAGATAGATAGATAGAGCGAGCGAGCTGGGCATTGTGTTCATGACTCTAACCCAGTCCTTGGGTGGTATAGACAGAGGATCAGGAATTCAAGGTCATCTTAGACTACACAGCAACTTTGAGAACCATATGAACTATAAGAGGTCCTGCTTCGGGGCTGGAGAGATGGCTGGAGAGATGGCTGGAGAGGTGGCTCAGAGGTTAAGAGCACCGACTGCTCTTCCAGAGGTCCTAAGTTCAATTCCCAGCAACCACATGGTGGCTCACAACCATCTGTAATGAGATCTGGCGCCCTCTTCTGGCCTGCAGGGATACATGCAGACAGAACACTGTATACATAATAAATAAATAAATCTTAAAAAAAAAAAGAGGTCCTGCTTCAAATAAAAGATACATACATGCAGATGTATATGAATACATATATATATGTATTCATATACATATATATATATATATTACACAAACATCTCTTCTCTTGGTGTCCTTGAAGAACTGGTTCCAATACCCTATGCAAACATTAAAACCCATCACATTCAGATCCTTAAATAACATAGTGTAGTGTTTTCATATGATCTACTTACATCCTGCTTGCTGTATATGCTAAATCAATTGCAGACAACTATAAAGCCAAACCATTTCCAAATGGTAAATCAACAGTTGTACACCATCATTTAGGGAATGATGAAAAAAACAAAATCTGTGTATGTTCAGTGCAGATGCAAGTCTTTTTTTAATAATTTTTTATTTTTATTTTATGTACATTGGTATTTTGACTGCATATATGTCTGTATGAGGATATCAGATCCCATGGAACTGGAGTTACAGACAGTTGTGAGCTGCCAGGTGAGTACTGGGAATTGAACCTGGGTCCCCTAGAAGAGCAGCCAGTGCTCTTAACTGCTGAGCCATCTCTCCAGCCCCTAGGTGCAAGTCTTAAAAAATATTTTCTGGCCAGATGGTGGTGGCACACGCTTTTAATTCCAGCACTCAGGAGGCAGAGCCAGGAGGATCTCTGTGAGTTCAAGGCCAGCCTAGCCTACAGAGTGAGATCCAGGACAGACTCCAAAACTACACAGAGAAACCATGTCTCAAAATAAACCAAAAACAAAAACATATATTTTCTGCCTGGCAGTGGTGGTGCACACCTTTAGTCCCAGCACTCAGGAGGCAGAGGCAGGCAGATCTCTGAATTCAAGACCAGCCTGGTCTACAGAGAGAGTTCCAGGACAGCCAGGACTGTTACACAGAGAAACCCCCTCTTGGAAAAAACCCTTTTTTTCTATTCTTGCCTGGTGGAATCTGCCAATAGAGAAGCCACACCAAGAGAAGGCCGAGTCTATGTGGATGTGTGCATGGGGTGGGGCAATGGGGAGGTCTTGCTTTATGAGATCTTATCAAGAAACTGCTGACAAAGTTCACATGAAATGCCCTTGGCAATTCTGCATGATTGTCCTGCCATAACCACTCAGCCCACATAACTAGCCCAGGGTCAGGCTCCACAGTGCAGTCCACAGGGCAATGGTAATTTGACACCCCTTCCGGTGGTCTTCCATAATAAAAGAGTCATCACAAACTATTTCTGTTTCTAGGACTGACCCATGTGCTAGCAGTCACAGTCAGCCACACCCACACGGTCCTCAAGCAAAGGCTTTTGGCAAACTCCCCATTTACTTCAAGGCCTGATCTAAGACGGACTTTCTTAGCAAGGTTCCAATGGGCAAAGCCACAGAAGTTCTCTGTTCTCTAGACAAAAGAAATGGAGATGGAGGAGAAAGAAGGGGCAGGAGGAGGAGGAGGAGCAGGGGAAGAGAAGGAAGGAAAGAAGAGACAAGAGGAGACTGGAGGGAGAGTGGGAAATATTTCAAACTGTTCTCTCCCCGTTTGTGTCTAAATTAAATCCAAGAGTTTCATTGAGGCCCAGTGTGGTGCTGCACACCTTTAATCCCAGCACCCGGAAGGCAGAGGCAGTTGGACCTCTGTGAGTTCCAGGCCAGCCTGGCCTACTACAGTTCCAGGACAGGCAGACTACATAATAGAGAGACCCTGTAGAAGAATGAGAAAGAGGAGGAGGAGAAAGAGGAGGAGGAGAGGAGGAGGAAGAGGAGGAGGAAGAGGAAGAAGAAGAAAGGTTCCCTTCCTGATCTGGTATTCTGCTACCTTACAGGAAGAGTGGACTCTGCAAGGATGTTGCCTCTAAAGGTGACACTTGTTCAATTTTCTACCTTTAATCCAAGTAAAGAACGTGCCATCAAATGTGTGTGGTGCTTCATGAGCTGCCCGCCGTCTGGAGATGTTGGGTTCCTCTGTGTGTCCTGTAGCCTTATGGAGTGTCTACTGCCAAGGAGGACTCAACAAACAGTGGGCTGCTCAGTGAGTGACTGAAGATGCTCTTGGATAGATGAATGGATGGATGGGTGGGTGGGTGGATGGATGGATGGATGGATGGATGGATGGATGGATGGATGGATGGATGGATGGATGGGTGGGTGGGTGGATGGATGGATGGATGGATGGATAGGTGGATGGATGGATGGATGGATGGATGGATGGATGGATGGATGGATGGATGGATGGATGGATGGATGGATGGATGGATGGATGGG